TGTGTGTGTGTGTGTGTGTGTGTGTGTGTGTGTGTGTGTGTGTGTGTGTGTGTGTGTGTGTGTGATGCATCTTGTCCTTAACTTTCAATTCGACAGCCACAGTAGCTAGGGAGCTGAAATTTTAGGGTAATGTTCCTCGCCCACGAGTGACCCCGCAAATTTAATTTCAGCCTTCTCCTGCCCGCCGGGTACTACGCACTACCCCGTGAAAGTTTTGGCAGACAAAGTTGTTATCTCAGGAATTATGAAAGCTTGGAAGATGAAATTTTAGGGTAGCGGATTCCTGCCGATGTGTGGTCCCGGAATCTGAATTCCAGGCTTTCCGCATGCCTGGTACTATGTAACACCCCATGAAAGTTTTGGCGGGGAAAGTTGTCTCGGGAACCACGAAAGCTAGAGGGCCGAAATTACACGGCAATGCCCCCTGTCCGTATATGATCCAGCAGATTTAGAATAAGCCCTTCCGCGCTCGGGTATTACTTGCGGACTTGTAAAAGTTTTGGCAGGTGGAATTACTGTTTGGGGGATCACGAAAATTTGGGGGCTGAAATTTTACGGTAATGTCCCCTGCTTACATACAACCACTCACGAATTAGAATCCAGCTTTCCCGCGCACTCGGGTATCACTTATGGCCCCGTGAAAGTTTTGGCGAGGAAAATTATTATCTCAGGAATTATGAAAGCCAGCGAACTGAAATTTTGAAGTAGTGAACCCTGCCCAGATATGACCTTGCAGATTTAATTTTAGCCTTTCCTTGTTCTTGGCTATCGCGTACGATACTGTGAAAGTTTTGGCGGGGGAATTATTATTTCAGTACTATAAAAGCTAGGAAGTTGGAATTTTGCAATAATGTTTCCGCAACTTTAAATACAGCCTTTCCTTCGTCTGTGTATCACCTACGGCCCTGTGAAAGTTTTGGTGGGAAAAATTATCTTAGGAATCACAAAAGATGGGAAGCTTAAATTCTAGAGTATTTTCCTCTCTCCATCTACGACCCTGCAAATTCTAATTCGCCTTTCTCGTGCCCCTGAGTCTCAACGTCCTCGTTTATGTTTTAGCGGGGAATTTACTACTTGGAAGAGGTAGGAGGTTGAAAATTCCGGGAGAATGTTTTCTACCTATGCAGGGGCCACACAAACTCAAATATAGTTCCCAACTATGTCGAGGTCTCACGCACGACCACGTGAAAGTGTCGGCGCGAAAAAGCCAGAAAATTAGAAGGTTGATTTTGGAAGGATGTTCACCGTATAAGGTTTTAGTGGGAAGCTTCGCAACTTGGGAACCAGACAACATATCAACTATTTTTGCATTGACAAAGTGCAAAGCAATGGAAATCCTTAGCAGACAAACGTTCGCTGGACGGAATTGTGCAGAACGCATGATCGCACCGGCTACCCTGGTGCGCGCCACTACTTATTGAATAATTGCACAGATTTCAGCTTACTACCTATCACTTCTATTCTTATGTGTTTTTTGCAGCCAGGCAATGCAGAAAACGCATATTGATGAGAGGTTGTCTGTGTGTGTGTGTCTGTATGTACGCTGGGCGTCTGTACCGATTTTTCATCTGGAGACCTACAAAAGCTACAGGGCTGAAACTTAGGGGACTTAATCTAGATGCGTGTACGATCCCCATCTCCAAAATGGGCGCTCTTACCTGCGTGGTGCCCACGTACCAGCCCACTAGTGTTTTTTTTTCGGGTAAGCTGCTAACTCGAGAACATGAA